TTTTTTCAGCTTCTTGCTGATGTTCTCTTACTCTATTGTTCTGTTTTTTAACTTTCCTTTTGGACTTTTATGAGCAACTTGCTGATGTTTTTTTTTTGCTTTTTTTTAATAATTTTTTGGAACTTTTATAGGTAACTCTTGCTGCATTTTTTTCAGCACTTTGCTGATGTTTCTTTTCTGTTTTATTTTTTTTTTCTTCTAGATTTTATTCTTCCAATTAGTTATTAGTTGTAGATAGATAAATATGAAAAAAAGAAAAAAAAAAGTGACTTGTCTGGCAGTGTCAAGTGAAATCAATAATTTTCAACAAAATGAAAAAGTGACTTGAAACTCTGGGAGTGACCACCAAAAATAATAAATAAATATGAAAAAATGAAAACAAGTGACTAAAAAATGAAAAAAAAAGAATTGGGACTCTGGGAGAGAAAATAATAAATGTGAAAAAGATACAAAAAGTGAATTGGGACTGTGGGAGTGAATCTAGGTGAGAAAAAGAGGGGGGGTACCCGCGGTACCCGCCAAAAGTACCGCCGGTACCCACCAGGAGGTGCCTGGTGCGGTACTTGGTACCTATTTTCTGAAAAAATTCAACAGGTACCTAGGTACCAACAGGTACCCAAGTACGAACGAACGATCTCTAAGCCAGAACCAACCCACCAAGAACTCCTCGAGGAAGTATTCCAGATCAAGGCGGTACATGGTCCCCTCCTGGGCCATCACCGCAAGCAATCCATCCAACGAAACCGCTGGGAGCACGCTGATCCGGGAGGCCGTGATCGGCCTCGGGAGCCGGACCGTTTGACGGCCCTTGGGCGCATAGGCGTGGTCACGAGAGTGGGATTTGATAGAAACCCCGGCCTCATCTAAAGTACCACAAATACAATCCTGCTCAGCAGCTGAACAGGATCAATGACATACTGTAAACAACGTACCTAGGAATACCAAATGGTCTGAGGGTATAAACCCGATCTGACCGACAAACGCCGCCCGTCGCAATGCACACTGAGCCGGGTGCACCGTCCGCGCCTTTTTGCAGGTGAGACGCAGTCGATGTTTGATCTCGTTTTGAATTGTAGAGATCGGGTGTCGTTCACCGGTCATCGCATCGATGTGTGCTCGGATCTCATCGAGTTACAGCGTGGGTTCTAAATCCAACGCATCCATGATGAATTGCGACTCTTCTCGGGAAACCATGATGGGGCGACCTCGTCGTTCGTACAATGCGGGGTCCCGGATAACACTTCTTGTTCGTTCGTATAAATCATTCCATCTCCTGATCAAATTGGCTGATATGTTCAGATCAAGGATTTCGTTGATCTCTTGCCGAGTCTCACCTCGTCGGCTCATCTTGACGACAATGACCTTCACACCCCGACCATAATCAACAAAAGGCATCCTCACAGGCCTAAACGGTCATCAAAAGAAAGAGAAAAAAAATCATCAGCACTGATCGAAACGGACATGGAGGGTAGGAGTCAACGGTGTCATGGGCCCACCCGGATCTACTTGGTCGCCTTGTTCGCGATGTAAATGCGGAATATCCCAATCGAGGTCAATCGACGGCAGCGGGATCAATTTTGGGAGGGCGGATGGGGTTTCTGGCTGGTCGGATGCGGAATTTGGTGGGCCGCTGGTCGGCGGGGACCGGTCGAAGAAATTTTTTTTTTCATTCTTCCAATATTCGGAAGTACAGGCCCATACAGGCCTGTATGTCATGCAAGGCAAAAAAAAAATGTGGTGCAAAAAAAAAAAAAATCGGTTCCCAGGGGCTCGCCAACGCAAGCTTTCTGGGAACTGCTGTAACAAAAAACAACTGATCCACTGATTGTAGTGATTCAAATATGCTTGTGGAAGTATCAAATTCATACACTCTGATTTTCATCAGTGTCTTTGTCTGGAAATCTACTTTTTTAGAACACAAGGGCCATGCTTGGGCACCAATGTCACAGGCATGGATGCACACCCCTCAATCTGGAATATAGATATGCCCTAAATTTAGAAACCATGGGTTATCAGAAGTATATGGGAACAAAAAAATGCAGTCTGAGAGAAAAGGTAAACAGGAACTACAATTAGGTATTCTGGGGTCTTTGCTTTGGGATGGAGTCAGAGCAAACTCATCAGCTTTAATTCTGAGAAACAATTCCTTTGGACATGTGCCAAATCTTAGCCTCTGAGTCATTTGAAGTGGTGATTGTACAAGGAATCTCTGTGAGACCTCAACTGGCCACCAAGACTGCAACAACTGCAAGGAAAAGATATCTTCCTGGATAAGAGTGGATTGACTATTTGGGAATAACAATCAGAAGTGAGAATAAAACCATGTAAATTTTGCATCTCTTGGATCAGAGTGAAATATAACATGGATTCTAAGCAGAAATTGTTTGCTTGTTTTTTTTTGACATAGCAAATAGAGATCATTCCGTGGTACCCTTTGCTCGGTACCTAGTACTGCTTGGGGGGTACCGCCCGCACCTGCCAGGCGGTGCCGGGTGCTGGTTTTTGCCTAAAAAAGGGGCAGTACCCGGGTACGGCTATGGGTACCGCCCCCACAGGACTAGTTTTGACCGGTCCTTGATGGCGGTAAACACACCCATTGATGAAACGTTCATCAATTGGGGACCCACTCCCATCAAGGACCAGTCTTAACTGTTCATAACATTTCCTTTTTTTTGCAAAACCTTGAGGAATCCACCAAATCATTATCCAGTTCAGTTGTTTGTAAGATGTGCAGTGATTTCAGTTATACACTCTTGCAAATTCTAAAAGATGATTTCAGCATAGATCAATAACCTGTTGCACCATTCAAGTAGTGTTGATTGGAAATGTGGCATGTTATAGTGTGATAGGTGTCCGGATCAGCTCAATCAAGAGTACAAAAGGAAATCCAAGGGTATTTCCACACATTCATTATCCATCAGACAGCTTCAGTCTCAAGAGGATCCAACCATACAAAGGAAATGAAATGCAGCTTGGAGCAAACACCCCATTGACGACCAATCAAAACCGGTCATTGATGGGAGGAAACACCCCCATCAATGACTGGTTTTGACCGGTCCTTGATGGGGGTCAACATCCCCATTGACTGTTTGACCGGTCATCAAAGGGTCTTTATTCAGCCTTGTGTCCCAGCATTCAATCTTTTTTTCTTTTCCTCTTCTTATCTTGGCAGTACCGATGCATCTAACAACGAGTACAAGAGTGCTCAAGCTATGGCAATTTTGATAGATGTGATTGTTAGGAGTATTGAAGATGGCAAGATTATTGAAGAAGAGTGAAGCAAAGTTTGCAATGTATGGTCCCGGATTGACGGTGTGGTGGTCCAGGCTGCTGTGCGCAACAAAACTGCCAAAACCCCTGCCTTATAACCTAAAACACCTACATATATGAATATATTATTGCATAATCAGAATCTACGTAAAATTTTACCCATAGTCACTCACTAGAACTATACCTCTATCTCTATTAGTTTAGAAGATAATCCAATATAAAGGTTAAAGCCATACCATAACTAGTCATTAATTAGTATTTAATAGTAATTTACCATATATATATAAGTACATACACATAAATTATTACATCAGCAGGCCTCCACCAGTAGTGCAGATCAGTTATGCAACTCTTGCATGCATATGTGCAACCATTAGGCCTCCACTTAGTAACTCAATTAAATGCATGCAGGCTTTGCATAAATGCATGTGGACAGGAAACCTCCACCAGGCAGTGCAACCATTTATGCAATCCTTACATACAGTAGTACCATATTTAGTTATTTCCACAGCATAATTAGCTCAATGCATGTACTCTTCGCAGGAGGCAGTGCAACCCACAAGGTCACCACCAGAAAAATCACCTCAACTGCATCACCACCAGCAAAAATAACTCAGAAAAGAATATATAAGGAGGCCTCTCCTTCACCAATTCCTCCCATCATCACCCATCCAGTTCATACCCAACTAGCTCAGTGGTCAACACCACCCTCACTCACCCAGCCAGCACAGTGCCCAGCTAGCTCAGTGGTCATCAACACAACACCTCCAACATTCAAGACTAGTCAACAACAGCAACAACACCAACACCAACATCAACACCAACACCAACACCAACATGAACAACAACCAACAGTTTCACTACTTATCCAGAATCACCGTAAAAACCATAAAACCACATAAATATTCCACTTAGATTGTTTTCACACCCACATTCACCGTGTAAAGGTTGTACAACCATCTTGTATTGATTTACATACTGATCTAGGTCTGATAGAGACTACTACATATAAAGTTTTCTCTGTCATAAAGTTACACCACAACAATAAATTAAATTGTTGTCAGAATTCTTGTGTAGTGAATAGAGGGGCAGGTCTTTCAAACCACCCGTAACAGTAAATATTAACTAGTGAAATATCATATTGTTATTTCCCCCTCAAGGACTGCCAACCCATCCCAAAGGAGTTCTCACAACGGCATCCTGGTAAAGAAAAGCAAACACAGTCTGATGTGGCCAAAGGCAGTCGGGCAGTCTTGCAGATATCCTCCCAAAGCCTGCTAAGTCCAACTGGGAAAAAAGAGAAGACGGCTATCAATCATCTGTGTATCCTCAAAGCACAGAAGTCTTCCCACAGGCTTTCAGATATGGTCGGCATTGAGAGTAAGCAGTCCACACTCCCATCAAGGACCGGTGTAGGACTCCTGGGACGGATAGACACGGTAAAGTATATGTATATCAAAAGATCCCTTGAGGGGGAAATAAATTGCAAATAGGTTGAAAGGCTATTACAACTTACGGGTGGTTTGAAAGACCTGCCCCTCTAAATGTACTAAACAAATAACCAAGAGTCTTGTAATCAATATTTAATAATGTATGGCTGATTCCAAGATGGATCTTACTTTCTTAAAGTAATCCCTATCAGACCTAGATCACGTATCAATCTACTAATGAATCTGTTACAACTTCAGGTTAATAATGGAAACTGTGGTGCTGATGACTTGAGCACGAAAAAGATAATTTGTTATAGAGTTTGTTAATGATCTCTTCCTCGAACAATTTCTTGCTAAGGCACTTTAATCAAAAACTAGAGCTCCGGTACTAATACTACGACTACTTGTTATTGGTTAATTTGTAATGTAATACTACTTATATGATGACTACTACTACTAATATGCTTCAAATTCTGAACTCTTTGTTGGTTTCTCGCTTACAATACTGTACTAATTCACTACTTATCACTAACTCACTCACTTACTAACTTATTCTTCAACTTGGGTGATCGAACTTACTTCCGTAGGTTGATGTACTAACTTCACTAACTAACTAACTATCACTAATTCTAACTCTTCACTTTACTGACACTCCGGAACACTTCCAGTAGCTCAGGACCAACTTACTGCTCTGCGAGACTTCTGTAGGCTGATGGGGAGAAGACACTTTCTGGTGGGGAGAGGTCCTTCTTTTAAATTGAAGAGTGAGGGATTTCTGCTGCAGGGGACTCCTTGTGAGGGAATATTGCTGCAGGGGATCTCACCTGAACAGCCTTTGCGCACAGCCTCTAAACAAATAGCGCAGCTTATGCTGTGCTAGGAACCCTTAACTCCAGACCTTGTCACATAATATGCATGCAAGGGAGCACACAAGCGCAGCATGATGTCATGCATTGCCAGGCAACCAAGCCATCTTTCAGAACCAAGCGCAGCATGATGTCATGTGTCACCAGGTAACCAAGCCATCTTCCAGAACACTCTGCATAGGCAGTACCAGCCTGCCAGACCTGCTGTTATCTCCTTCCACCCAGGATTTGGGGGTCAAAGCTCTACTCACTCCTTCTTCCTCCCTCCGCCTCAATATTTTCCTCCCTTCACTTTCTTCATCGTACCCTGTACCCTTACGTAAAACATACAGTACCCTTATTACACACCGCTCCTCCGTTCCATTCCTGGTTGAGACATGTTCTCCCACTCCTCTCCACGTATATACTTCCGCTCCTCCGTTCCATTCCTGGTTGAGATATGATCTCCCACTCCAATCCTCGTATGCACACCGCTCCTCTGTTCCATTCCTGGTTGAGATATGATCTCCCACTCCAATCCTCGTATGCACACCGCTCCTTTGTTCCATTCCTGGTTGAGACATGTTCTCCCAATCCACTCATTGTATGTAATCCAGTCCGTACATACCACACCTCATCCATAATGATTTTTCCTTCTCTTGTAATGATTGTCACATGTATGTAACTATGCTATCCCAACACCTCTGCTCTATGCTTTTGGCATTGGAACAGGCACAGCACACCACATCCCCCCCCCCCCCAACTTAATGCTGTCCGCAGCATTCCTGTGGAAATGCCAAAAGACCATTGATCCTCGTAATTTCTAACCAAGACTTCCGCAATAACGTCCTTCATCTTCAAGATCCAATCCGTACCAAGTCCACTTCTATCCGTAAATAAGTCCATTGCCGTCCAATATGATATAGTCAATCCGTATTCCGTTCCATAAGATAACCGCTACAACCTAATCCAAGACGCCCATGAGTTATTTCAAACTATTTCATCTCACCCGCTCCAAGAAGAGGTTGTTGGCCAAAAATCCAGCAAGGATTAATTAAACCTGCTCAAACACTTCAATCTTTCTCTCTTCACTATCACTATCACTCAAACTCTCAATCCAATGTATAATTCTCGCTGGTCTTATGAATCTTCAAACATCTTGACGTATAAATATTCCATGTTAATTTTCCGTTCCACACCGTCCATGTTGTTGGTTTGTTTCTTCTCCTTCCAAGTCTGTCTGTTTTTCCATCTTCCTGTTAAATTTCCAAGTCGCCATGTCATTTTGTCCATTTTGTCCAGTGCTCGTACCGCCGTGTTCTTTTCTTCTGTATTTATTTACTGACTACTAATTCATAGTCCCACATTTGTAAATGCTTAATTTTGATTACTTTTTAATTAATTTCGATTAATTTCGTTTGAAATTGATTAATTTTGTTTGAATTTGAATAATTTAGTTTGAATTTGACTAATTTAACCCACCCTATTCCCTCAGCTAAACACAAGATCCTGTTTGCCTACCAATTGCTCTCCAAAAATAATTATTAATTTAATTTCTCATTACTATTTCCATTTCAATTCAACTGTCCGTCATTTTGTATATTTCTTGAATTTCCACACTGTAAATCCGAATGTATCCACTTTTAATACCTGTAGTCATAGCAGTTTTCATTCACTCTAGCCTCATTTCTACTTTGGGCCACATTTCACTGTTTCACACTATTCCTCTTGGGTTATCTGCATGTCTCACACTAGTACACATTTGGCTAGTTCATTCATCTCTTTGGTATATTCTTCCTCCCTCATTGGTTGTGGCACATTTCATCCCTGCATGACTCTGATGTATTAATTTTTGCCTGCTTTGGTTTTGCAATGCAGCCACCAGAAAGGTAGGCCAAACCAGCCAGAGCACCTATGAAATACTGGATTAATGACATCACGCCAGGTTCCGATGCTGAGTTGTTGCCCAACTTAGGATGTCCACAAACCGGCCAGCGTGTCCTTACAACATTTAAGAGAACCGCTGGCCTTATCACTTCCCCTTTTTTTCTCTTTCCCCAGACCATTATAACTACAAAAAACTCAGCTACTACATGTGAGCCTGGGTCTCAATAGTGACTGCAGGACACAAGTTTTGAGGGGGCACTTTTATATGTATTTCTCAAGAGAAAGGAAATACAAATAAAAGCAAGAGAGAGGGAAAGAGGAGAAGGAAAAGAAAGGAATAATCTTTTTGTCATTTACAGCTATTTCGGGAAGTCTTGTCCCCTTGGACTCGCGAAATCTTTTTTATTTTTTTATTTTATTTAGGGGCTTGGTTAAATGACTCCCAAAAAGTGCAGAGCCGACTCCCAAGCCCCGGATTCCCCGAAAATGGGAGTCAAACCCCCAAAACCTTTGACTGGTTTGGGAGTCGACTCCCTAAAAAATAAAAATAGAAATAAATACAAATCCCCGGTCGGTTTGGGAGTCGGCCTCCCAAACCAACCAGGGTTTGGGGGTCGATGACCCAAAAGCCCCATGGCAGCGGCCGGGAGGATTCCTCCCGGCCGTTGAGGTACACTCTCAATGCCAGGAGTTGACCCCTCGGCCGCAAGAGTGTACATCTCGTATACACTCTCAACGGCCGATGGAAACCGCCTCGGCCGTTGAGGGTATACACTCTCACCGGCCGAGGGAAACCACCTCGGCCATCGAGGTGTACACTCTCCACGGCCAGGAGGCAGCTCTCGGCCGTTGAGGTGTTTTCGATTGGCTGCTCAATGCATTTGAACAATCAACCAAGCTGTCCAATTCCTCTCCTCTCTCCAAAACAGACTCAATCGTTTTGTGAACTACGATCTTGGTTTCATCTAATTCTTGTTGGACTTTCAGGATAGTATCAGCCTGTTTAGGGTCTTGATACTTAACCAAATACTCATTGACAGCAGTGAAACCTAGGTTGGGAGGAGAGGAGGGATTGTTGACAGCTGATTTCCATTTGGATTCAGGGATCTTAGTTGTGAATTCGTCTAGTAACTTGTTCAATAATGAGAATGCAGCCCGAACCGGATATTCGTTGTCGGTGATGATGACCCCTATCAGGTTCTCCGGTGTACACCTCAACGGCCGAGGTGGTTTCCATTGGCCGCGAGAGTGTATACTCTCGATGGCCGAGAGGATTCCTCTTGGCCATCAAGGTGTACACTCTCGCGGCCGAGGGGTTAACTCCCGGCCGTTGAGAGTGTACCTCAGTGGCCGGGAGGAATAATCCTCCCGGCCGCTGCCATGGGGCTTTTGGGTCATCGACCCCCAAACCCTGGTTGGTTTGGGAGGCTGACTCCCAAACCGACCGGGGATTTGTATTTATTTTTATTTTTATTTTTTAGGGAGTCGACTCCCAAACCAGTCAAAGGTTTTGGGGGTTTGACTCCCATTTTTCGGGGAATCCAGGGCTTGGGAGTCGGCTCTCCACTTTTTGGGAGTCGTTTAACCAAGCCCCTTTATTTATTTTTTATTTTTTTACTGAACTGGACCTGTCAGAACTGAACTAGTGATGACAGCTGTACCTCCTCGGCTGTAGTTCAGCACAAAGAAAAATTTAAAAATTTTCAAAAAAAAAAGCAAGAGACAACTGGACAACCCTTTCCAAAATAGCTGTATTTGTTTTGTTATGATTATTTAGATTCTGACAGTCTTATTTCCTCTGAGGGTAGCTGTTATAAGCGGAGCTAACTCTACGCCTCCAAATCAAAGGAAAATGAAATGGGTTATTGACTCTGATAAATCAGGTCAACCACAATTTTTTAGATCAGAGATGATCAAGGTTCTTTAAAGGGAAACCTATGTAGTTTTCAGTTTTACTACCAAACAAGAATGAGAAGAATCTTTGAAGCTACTGTTGCTTTGGTTGATCAGGGCTTTTGGTTTAGAGAAGAAAAGAGGAAAGGGTTGAGAGTGACAGAGAAAGAAACAAGCATAAAGATGCTAGCTAGACTTAAAAGAAGTAACTTACTGATGACACCAATGACACTGAGTAGTGGGAAAGGCAGGAAAAGTAAGGTTCTTCTGGTTGATAAGTGTAGGCTGGATCTGGTACTGGTTGTTGTGGTTCTGGGTGTGTCTGGAGTCTGAAAATCCTCTGGAAGCGGAATCAACAAGCTCAGAGAGGATTTTCAAAGTTGGATTATGTAATCTGGCATGTACATGTGGTAGAGGGAGCTGAAACCTAAGAGCTGGAGTAATTCTTGGAGCACTGTGAATTATTACAAAGTCAATGAAGGAATGGAGTTGAGTAAAAGTGATCAGTGGTGACTAGGGTTAATTTTACACCAGGAATACATTTCTGAAGTCAAAAAGGTTAAAAGTCTTAAGACAAAAAGGATAAGATAATATTTAGAATAGAAATGGGCAATTTTGGCAGTATTTTGGCCAGCTTGGCTGGCTCTAAGGCTGACACTACATTCCAGGAATCAGTATTTCCAGATCACAGCCTACCTTTCTAGCACTCATCAACTCTGCGCTTCCGCGTAGTGCTTTTCACTACCTAGAATTGAGGCTCTCGCCTACTACTCCTCTTGATAGTTCTATCCTTCAGTATTATAGTAGTCTCTACAACTTACGCTTCTATACGACTCCATTACAACCATCTCACGCCTTCGCCAAGTTCCATCATGACTAGTTCCACCGCTTGTTAACCTGAAGTGTTAACTCCCTAACTATCTGCTCCCAGAGGTTAGTTGCCCCAGCTGTACAGCTGCTGGAAGATCCGCGTAAGACTCATTAAGATCTCACTGAGCCGCGCTGAACTCAAACTAATATCCACTATCCTCTCTTTCTCAGAGCGGGTGTTCTCTAAATTCAGTCAGACTATAGTTACTACCTTCCGTAGCTCCCGTAAGTAACCCAAGCCTGACACCCATTGATCACGGTTTCATCAATGGGGTTGTTGACCCCATCAATCACAGTTTCATTGATGGGGTTGATTACGCCCCATCAATGACCGGTCATCAATGGGGGTATACACCCCCATTGATGACTGGTCAAAACCGGTCATTGACGGGGGTAAACCACCCAATGTCAACACCTGCATCTGCACCCAGCACCTGTTTCCAGGTCCCTGCTTTCGAAAACAGGTGCCTGCAAAGGGTGCCAGGTACCTTCTGACATCTCTAAACAGCACAACACTCCACTAAACTACATTGAGCACAGCTGAACATGTAGCTTAGCAAAGCGTGCCAACTGATTTTCCAGTTAGTGAATTTCGGGAACCCTTTGCAGCTTAGCATCTGGGGTGCACTAACACTAAACATGGTGCTTGAGTAGTGTTGCAGTGCATCAAAAGCACTAAAGTGGTGCTATGTAGCATATAGTAGCTATAGCAGGTCAGTGTGCACTCACATTGTAGTCTATAGTGAGTCAGCACCCTACAAAACTAGCTCAGTACTGTAGTTAATCTCTCTGTGCATTGACCCTGGCACCCATTTTTTTCATCCCAGACTTTCCCATTGCAGTATGTGCTTTCAACCCCATCAAACTAGTAGCAACCTAGGTTGCTCCTTTTCTGCTTATAATGTTAGCGGTAGTGCACTCATGGGGAATCAGCTTATCAATAGTGCACTCATCCTTGCTCAATTCTAGTAACTAAAAAAATAAGAAAAAGAGACACCTTGGGTTTAGTGGTAGCAGTAGCTGAGGAAAGCTACATGTAGCAGGTAATGTAGTGGATCAAAAATTGCTAAGATGCCAAGCCTCTACATCAAGTGTAGCTTAACAGTTATGCTGTTGCCCGGAATGCTGGACATCATCTGATTGTTTTTGGGGGCTGTGCCAGTGCAATCTGCATCAAAACACGATTTGATGGTAAGCAAAATATTCAGCACAAGATGACAGACCAATGCCAGTTTATCCTCTCTTATTCAACCAAAGCAATCCCAGTTGAATTCTGCAGGATGCTGCTGTGACCATTTCAACTATTCACTGCACTTGAACTAGTAGTGCAACCTTGGGCCGGACTTTCCCTGAAGCCTGCAAGACAAGTCCCAACAATTCAGACCAGACCCATGTAGTTGCTGGGATCCACTGCACTGCAAATGACCCTCATTGTAAAATACACTATGTCAGATCTATCAGATCTCCATGGAAATCATCTTGCATCATTCTGTATCTCCCTCCAATGTCAAGCTTGATTTTAAAATTCTGACACCCCCTCCCCCCACTCCCCCAAAAAAGGTCATGTGGATTTTGAACATTGTTTTTGATTATTCAATTCCATTTGAATAGGGCAGGGGGATGGGGGGGGGGGTCTCAAATATACCCAAATCCACCATTGTTTAATGGCCTGGCCGTTTGAGGAAAAAAAAAAATCTGTGCTTTTTTTCAAACAAGTTGGGTCTTTCATTTATGGACCCCCCTTTTTGGGGCCCAATTGATCCAAGCAAAGTTAAAAAGACCGTTTTGGGGAATTGAAGCGGTGTGGGTTCTTCGGCTTCCTTCTGATGCTGGCTATCCCGTACGTGATGTCCCCTTGCCATGCTTGTTATTTTAAAAACTATTTGAAACCACACCACCCCTCCAGTTTCAAGCCAACAGAAAGAGTTAGTTGCAGATTGGAGTGTCCATTCTTTTTTTTTTTTGAAAAGGAAGGAAGGTGGGGTTTTATGTATTTGACGATTGGGACGAGAGCCAATAAGCATCAGTACTAGGCCGGGTTCAGACGCACTCAAGCAATCATAATCCGCTGGCAAAAGCCCACCCCTGAAAAACCCTGTCGCACAACTGTAGTTTGTTCTGGTACGAATATGTACTTACACATTATTCTATATTTCTCATGTCATGTCACTTATTTACATACATATTTTCTCATACCTATACACATATTATGTACATATTCATAGCTATAGTTTCTCACCAACCCAAATACATACTTGTAAATAGTATAAATAGTAGTCCTACTACCAAAATACAATCTTTCCCTTGGGGGAGTTTTCCTATTCTCAACTTTTGTACCGCTGCGCTCTACAGGTTATGAGCCTGCGCTGTTACCAGCGGTTTCATTAGTGAAGAAAAGATCTTTCAGAAAGACCTTGATATCTTTTTGTCTACCTCATTCAACTCTTGGATTTTTCAGTTCATCGTGATATCCAAGACTCACGAACTACTCCCGATCTACCCTAGAATAAGCTTGGATTTTTCAGACACACCTTGATATCCTTGCAGAAACCTTGATCTTCCCTCTCGATTTATGGTCAACACGCGTTCCTCTAGACCGACCCTTCACATTCCGGATTTTACGGCCCGTGTTACTCCTCCTCGTCACCAAACATCTCCTTCCTCTTCCATTTTCTTTTCCCCACCATCCACCCCAATCATGTCAAACGACGAAACACCAATTCCTCCCACCACTTCTGCCGCTACAACCACCTATTATCCCTTACTCTATCCCCCTGCTACCACCGGTCCACCCACCACTTCCTACCCCTCCATCTATCCCTCCCTCGCGTCTTTTGAGTCTCTCGGTTTTGCTCCGAACGTCACTTCTCGTCCCGAGCCTTCAACTTCTGCTGCTGTCGCCGATTCTCCTTCCTCGCCCTCCCAGTCAGATCATCAATCATCGATTTCTCAATCCGATCACAAGTCTAACGCCGATGTTAAGCCGAAAGGTGACGGCTTGTTACCTTCTTTCGACTCTCTCTTGGAACAGACCTTCCGAAAAAACGGCATGGCCGGTTTCAACGACGATCTCCTGAAGATGCTACTTCTCCGACAACTCGTTGGCGACAAGTCGGAAACGAACAGCTCTCAGTCGGCAGTCGCTAGCCTCCTCAAGTGGCAGCAACTGGGAAAGGACGTTCAACCCCCCCTTTCCATTGACGGTTCAAATTTCCCTCTTTGGGCGGCATCCCTCAAGGACATCGTGGCCTCGGTGACGAAGAAAACCGACTATTTCAAGGAGGACTCCTCGGCGGCGGATCCTGGCACGTCTTCAGGGATTGTGGCTCTCATCAAGAATTCAATTGATCCCGCGCTACGCTCATCGCTCAACGGGATGACAGCGTATGGGGCCTGGAAATCACTCAATGGGCGATTCGCGAAGACCTCCTGGTCGCTTCTCCTTAGTCGTTGGTCTGACGTTGCGCAGGCCCCTGACGCATCAGACTCGATATCTGCCAGCTATGAGTCTTTGAAGAGGAGCTGGTTAGATTTGGAGGAGCGATTGGGGGGCTTGACAGCAGATAAGTTGCTGTCCCTCTCTTTTCACTCCAGCCTCCGACGATTTCAACAGCCGCTAACCGATGCCATCAATT